AGTCCTATAATAAAATGATCTACTTGAAGTAACAGAATTTACAATACATTTATCAATGCTTTTTAATACCACATCACATGACAAACTAATAACCACAGATCTAATTCATAGTTACATGGGAAAATAGTTCTATGTCTATATAACAGAATAGACATAGACAAATATAAAGATAGATTTATACTTATAAAATTAGTGGTTTAATGGCTCTTCCTATGACCCTGCAGGAGTAAGAAAACAATAAACAATAGCCTGATATACCAGTGAACCCAAAGAAAGTACTATACAACATTGGTGCAATACCTATCAATGACTCAGACAACTCAAAGTCAAGTTTTGTGCTGGTAATAGGTTCTGGGATATGGAAGATGAAAAGCTAACTGCTAGAAGTCTTGCAGCTCAAGAAATAAAGTAAATAAACTGCAATATAATTGTATGAGTAGTATTTCTAGAAATTAGATATTTTTCTAGAAAATATAGGAGGTGATCCTTGAAGTATTCACACAGAAGATACTATCCTAACACAATTGGAAAAGAAAACAAACAAAAACATTTATTTTTAACAGACATTTTATCTTTACTGTCAAAAAGTTAAAAAATACACGAGATTCTTAGTTACAAGGAAATGCTCTCATAATAATTTTTAAAAATTTTGTAGTAAATTAAAAAACAATCTACTTACCTTGAATCATATAATACACACAACTAAGGAGATAATGATTGTGAACAGAGCTGGCATTTATGTAGAACAAGCAACTGTCTCTGTGGTGTGGACTTTCCCAAAATATCTCCCACATGGGCCTATCCCTGATGCCTGAGATTCTTCTGCAGTTGGTGCCAGTTAGAAATGCAAATAAACCTATAGCAGTCATCATCATAATTAAGAACATTTTATTACATACTAGCTTTTAGGTCTATGAATTCTTTATAATATGATACGTAGCTAGAACACCTTTCAGGAATATAACACATAGCTAAAATATGTTAAGAGAACTCAGAGAAACAGAGGCAGTAATAGAGATATGAATAGAAAGGTCTGGTATGGAAAAGAGGATGAAAGAGCAGGGTGTAACAGTTGGGTGAAAGGGAAAGTGCTGCAAAAGAGGTGCGAGATGCTTATAGAGGTCTGGGACAGAAAAATAAGGATAAACCTTTCCTACTTCGCATTATAATTTCTTTTATGATCAGACACAGGTTATTATAGAACTTTGAGAATATAATGCATCTTACAAATTGTATGCTGCTAAGATAAATAAGGGATTTATTTTAAAAAGTTTTATTTATATATTTGCATTTAAGAACTAAAAACTTCCCCCAAAATAACTTTTACCAATTTGTGCTTTAATTTTAATTAACACAGGATATAAAATTTGAAAAATACTACAAAGTATATAGAAAGATTAAAATTGCTAATTCCTTTACTCTGTAATACCATCGTTAACATTTGGGAATGGGGGAGGGGTCTGTCTTGAAGGTTTTATGTTTGTGTGTGAAAAAATATTAAAAAACAAAATTTAGATTATATAGTTCTGTATCTTAATTTTTATGTAAAATCACATCATGGTCTTTTTCCACACTACTGAGTATCTCATGGTTTTTAAGGCAACAGGTTGAAAACTAGTGGTTTCTTAATGTTTGTTACTCTAGTGAACTATTCTGATTTTAAACCTACTTCTACTTTGATTTTAAACCTACTAAGGAAAATCATTAAAACTTCCCGCTTCTGGAAAGGACATACCAATCCTTAAATTCAATCAATATTGCTGCTTTGAATTTAAGAGTTTAAAAGATTTTTATGATTTCTCTTATCTAAAGCATTGAACTGGGAAGTAAATAATGCTAAATGTGTTGGCTCTCTGTTTAACCAATACTACAAAAGGAACACACAAATCACACTACTCATACCGTGTGAGTAAAATCCTGTTTGGCTCTGAATGCTATAAGGTCAAGTGGAGTTTAGGAATTCTGCATCCTCTCGGCCTAGGAGCCAAATTAGGCCTTTGGCTTAATATAATTCAGCTGGGCTTTGGAAATTTTTTTTTTTAAAGACATAGTATCTGTTTCCTGTCCCATCCTTCAAAGATCAGAGATATGTATGCATGTGTTTTTGTGCGTATATATGTATAAATTATTTGACTAAGGTCACCAATGGTGAGACTTCAGGGATTTCTTACTTCAATGGCATTATTTCGGAAAGCAGCAGTCATAATTAGTCTCTTTGATGACTGACTTAGCAGTGGAGGGAGGAAGTGGAGAAGTAGCACCAAAATGAGTATGGTGGGGAAGAAATGAAAGGCTAAGAGGACTTAGAGAGAGGTCCAATCTATCTGGTACTGTACAAGGCACAGGCTGCACTGGAGATGCTAGTTTTAGGGATAAAGGGGCCTTAAGAGAAGCAAGATGAATGAGAGAGATGTTTAGGGATAAAAAAAAAGAAAGGACAGAACATGTTGGTTAGCCATGGGGGATGAAAGTCAAACCTGCTTTAGTATCCTAGGAACTTTGTACTACTTAGTAGTAGCATAAGGTCTGAGATTGACCAAGCAGGATTTTGTGGCCTATATACTGCGTATATGCTCATTTCCTTCTTGAAAATGTAAGTGCTATTTGCCGTTCTTATACAGATGAGAACAATGGGGGATCTGAGAGATTAAGAAACTAGCTCAAGGGTACAAAGTTAGTAAATGGTGAAACCAAGATTCAAAATCTAAGTCTGTTTCTGCACAAACGGTATGTCCTTTCTACAATACACTTTGACTTTAATTTCAGAATTTAGTTGAATACTTTTAACCAAATTTTAATTTTACAAACAATCTACTTTCAAATAATAAAAGAGAAACATACATCATATGAAAAGGAATCTGTGAGGGTGGGGTGACATTTAGATAGCAATATTACTGAAAATATTTAAGCATAATTACAAATTAATTTCAGAAAAATAACACTGTCTAAAATTTCAAAGCATTTCTAGGAACAATCTAAAGAGGGCTGTTTTTTCTTATGAAAAAGTTTATTATTTTCCTCTCAAAGTGGATTTGGTATTAATGACTCAGACTAATTCATATGGGCTTTTCTTCTTCTCTATCAATAATAACAAAACAGTTTTTTATTTCAAAGTAATTCTGATATCAAGAAAGTAAGAACTATGTGAATTTAAAAGTTTCAGGGATATTTTACTTTTAAGCAGTAAGATATCTTTAGAAAGAAATAGAATATTACTTTTAATTGACTCTCCTTAAATTTGCTAATAGGAAATAGGTGAAATAAAATGTACTATGTACTATTTTAGTTATTATTTTTGAGAAAGAGGGTGCTTCACTTTGTTTTTTCAGAGCCTATATGGAATTATTGATTTTATTTTTTAAATGTTTTGCTTAAACAGTGGAAAGATTATCTCAGGGAAATACTGTCTAGATAATAAAGTTATACTATTGGTTTTCTTAAAAACAATGTTTTTGGACATTAGTGTAAATTGTGGATACCTATTATGAAATCTTAAGCATTTTGAACTTTATGAAAAAACCCACCTTTGACCACTTTTTCAAAGACTGTTTAACATGACTTATGCTTTCTGCTTTAGGGAAGAAAATATTACATCATATAATCGAACATAAGTCAATAAGGTAAAAGAAAATCTGTACTTAGAAAACAGATCTAATAGGAGCACATTTGCATTACTGAAGCCTAATTGTCTTCACAATAAAAATTTATACATTCAAGTATTTAAACATTCTAGTACATTTAACTTAACACTCTGAGTTAACTTAGACATAATCAAATTAACTCCCTTATAAAAATCCACCTAAACACCAATACTGGTTAGTCAAACTTGCCTAAAATGGGAACATCTTGCACATCAATAGGTACTTCTGAGAAATGAGGCATAAGGTAATAACACAAACCCAAAAGTTTACAAGGCGCAGTCTGTCACACGTACACTGGAAATTCGGTTTAAATGTTCATTCCTAATGCCTCGACGGAAATTTTTTTTTGGTATAGGATATTCATCAGTCAAAAATAGCTTGACGCTTCCAAAATCAAGCTCCGTCCAAGTTCTGGGTCAAATCCTGATATAGAGTACTCAAAGCAGATCACGTTTTTGTCAATATTCAATCAGAGGTTTTGGGAGCAGAAGAAATCTCAGGATAACCACTTTGTCTTATTCCCTGCCTTCCAACAGCTAATATCATAATCCCCAGGAACACAGCACCCCTCCCCACTCCCGCTCCCTTTAGGGAAACGTGTGTGTGTGTGTGTGTGTGTGTGTGTGTGTGCGCGCGCGTTTCAAGGCCTACAGTAGCTGCAGAGATGTTCATTACCATTTGGATATGTTTAGAATTCTACTAGGGAGAAATGAATGATAGCATTTTCCTCTTCACAGGAAGGTGGGCCTGGGGGATTCCCACCACCTGCACTGACGCTAAGTTATGGAAAGCAGCCAAGAATCTGGGACTCAGGGAGAGGCGTCCCAGTCGGTTCTATGGAAACGAGAGACGCGAGTGGCCTAGCGCCTTCCTGGCAGGAGACCGAGCTGCGGAGCTGCGCAAACAGGAGGCGAGGGAAGCGGCTCAGCCCTGCACTGCAGAGGCGCTCGGGGCCGTCCCCGCCGCGGCACGGGCGGAGCGCGGCGGGGTCTGCGGCTGCAGCCCATCGACGCGCGCGCCGAGCGCGGCGGGTCGGGCGAGTGCTAACCAACGACGGCTGCGGAAAGCGTCAGAGGTAAGCACTGCCACCGCTCTACCCAGCCCCTTCCCAGCCTCATAGCTGGGAGCTGCAGAAACTTCGGGGGCACGGAGGACACAGTCAGGGTACACTGTGTCTTCCGAGCTGAGGCCCTTTACCTTCCTGGTTGGAGTTTCTGGGCTGCTTCCTTCGCGCGGCGCCGGTGACAGGCAAGTAGACTGCCGCAGCACTTGCTACTTCACTAATCCGGGCTCTGGGAAATAATTTCCCGCCGCGCGCTCCGCGGCCCCGGAAGCTATTGTGCCATTTCCGGGTGGTTGTCAGTGACGCTTTCGAGCCGTCGTCAGGGTCGTCTGAGCGGGTTCAGGGCTTCCTTATGGCTGGCGCGCTAGGCTCCTGATAGTTCTGCGCTGAAGGTGGGAGACTGGTGAGTGATTTTTCTGGGTTGCCTCCTGGGCCTGGTATTTCCGTCCGCCCGAGGCTCCGTGTAGCATCTTATCCGGACCGAGTAATTAGCGGGAAAGGGTTGAACCAGAACCAGGAGTCCCCATCCAGCCCCGTGGCGCTTGACCCTGTGTGCTGCGGGAAAAGGCCTTGAGATTCCGACTTACGGTCTTCTCCACTCGCAGTATCTATCTCCAACTTGGAGCTCTACCTCGGGTCCCCAAGTGCCCCTGCGCAAGGCCAAAGACACCTCTACCGCGACTCGGTTTAGCACAGTCTCTCTACCAATGATCAAGGAGTGTCCACACTCTCCCATTGGCAGGGTTTAGTCACCCTCGATTTTCGAGAGCTGCTTTACCATCCTTTTCCTGAGCACTGTTTCCATTATCCTGGGGTGCAATGCCTGGGAGACAGGCAGTCGGCTGAAGTGCGCACCTTTTATATTTTGGAAGTGGGATGAGGGGGGTCGTTCCTGATTTAGAACTCAACGATACCGCCGCCGTTTGAATTGGGTGAGAATGGTCTTTGTTTTCCTGGCTGCTATGAGCTAATGAGATAGGAGAGCAAGCTTAAAATTTCACGCATGGGTTTTAGATACACATGTTACCTTTTGGAAAGGAGTGGTCAGGAATAGATGTGCTTTCAGAAAGGAGTGCCTCTGCACTGTTCCAGGCTTCCTCGATAATGAAAGATTCAGGAGAATTTTAGATGAAGGTCTGAGTTAGAATAGCTTTAAAGAGAAATTGCTTACGATGAAGAGGTAATGTGAGGGAAGGTGCTCATTCCGTTGAAGATTTTAAAAATGTGATGTAGAGAACCTCTTTTTGGTGAATTCTCTTTCTTGAGTAATGCAGTTTTTCAGGTAAGTTTTCACTCACCACCTTATATTTAAATAATCACCTGTTCCATAAGAGGCAGCTGCTTGATTTTTTTTTCCCCCCTTCAAAACAGCCAGTTCCACAAAGAGTTCTAGGGATAACTCTACCATAAAGAAAAATGCATTATTCAATTCAAGGACCTTAATGCATCAAGCAAATGACTTGTTACCTTTTGAGAGTAACAAACACACTAATCTCCTTGTTGATTAACAATTCAAACTTTTATAATCTCATTTGGTCCCAATTTTGCCATTCTTATTAAATCTTGTAGTTTTTCCTTATTTCCCCAGTTGCAAGGATTATAAATATTGATAATTTAAGGGAGGTTATATGTTTCTATATAGCAACTAGTTTTTAGATAAGCAGTGTTGTTTTGTTTTGTTTTTAAATCAATGCTCTTGACTCGTGATCTCTTTTTAAATTAATATAGCCAACCACGAATACTAACCACAAATAGCTACTGTCTGCCAGCTATTATCTTATTTAAACTTACTATAGTTCTACAAGAAAAATCGTATTATCCCTATTTTGCAAACATTTGATACCGAGACTCAGATGTTCTTACAAATTACACAATTAAATGGTAATTGAGATTTGAACCCAGTCTACCTGACTCCAAACTTGGGCTCTTTTTACTGTGCTCTATACTTCCTTTCATAAATAACAAAATCATTCTTTTCACTCTCAGGTAAAATTGGATAGTATATCACATTCCAAAATCAAATGGATAGCAAAACTTGAGTATAAAGAGATTTAAGGAATTTGTTAAGGAATTAATTCCTTAATGTGTTAAGGATTAAGGAATGTGTTAGGGATTTAAGGAATCACCAAAAGGTAATTTTGACATATGAATAATCCAAATTCTTTTCTGTATTGATCCTTAGCCAGTTTTATCATCCTAACTCAAACAAATACAAGCAATCTAGAGACCATCAGTATATTAGTGACTCCAAAACCCGAGTATCAGCTATCTCTTTAGGCAGCTTCTATTTGTGTGTATGTAAAAAGAGAGAAAATGAGTGAATGAGCACAGATTCATAAAATTGAACTTTGTGATGCCCTGTAAGGAATTACTATGTACTGGCTGTTAGCAAAACTGTTCTATTCCAGTCTTGTAACCCTCAGACAGATGGTGATTAACATATTTCAGGAGAATATGCTTAACTAAACCTACCCCTTGCAATATTCTATTTTATGTAAAGAAATAGAATAGCTTAATTATCAAGGAATTTACTAAAATCTAGTTGAAATGACCAGCACTAGAAATGACATAGAACTTAATTCTAAAGAATATCTTGTTTTACAAAAAGGCACAAGTATATATGTATAGCTCATTTCAAATACTAATATCCATTACATTGTATTGACTTCTGTGAAAGATATTTGGTTTTGCATGTCCCACAGGTAGATCTCAGTGATATTTTTGTTTTCAATCAAACTTCAGTGCTTATCAAGGTTGAAATTAGATCTGTTTTGTTGATCTCATACTCAGCATCTAGCATTGCGCCTGGCATGTGGTAGGGGCTCAATAGATATTTATTGAATGAACAATTCCTTTTAAAAGTGTTATTTATCCGCAGAGAAATATTTGTACATGTTTTTTTTTTAAAGGGACTTACCACATAAATGCACACTTCTTTATCTTTACTCACTTTGACCCTGAAATGTATTGTCCACTCCACAACTCATCCATAAAAGGCAATGTGGTGTCCTGCAAAGAAGAGCAGGCAGTGAGACAGGAGATAAGAGAATACCTAATATTTGTTATTGCTTACTCTCTGCTGTGCAATGTTACGTTTAATCCTCACAGCACTATGGGGTAAGTATCATCCTTCTTTTAGGGATGAGAAGACAAAAGATAAGCTTTGTAAAGTTTCCGGGGCTACACACAGTCACTAAGTACCAGAGCTATGATTTGAACCAAGGCTGACTCCAAAGGCCACAGTGTTAACCACTTTCCTATACTGCCTCCAACTGGATTTTAATCCTGCTCATCTACTGACTGGGTATATACACAGGGAAATTTATTTCTCTGAGGATCATATTTCTTATCTGTAACATAAGAGTTGGATTAAATGATCTATAAAGTCCCTTCTGGCTCAAAAATCCTCTGACTTTAGTTGGGTCCCAAGCATTATCTGAATGAAGCAGTTCTAATGTGCTAGAAAATCTTTATGAGTGGAGCTTTACATGTATTTATTGGTGTCTTCCACATTGATAGATGTACAATTATGTTTTTGTAATGCAAAGAATAAGACCAGAGTTAAAAAATCTTAGCCATGTTTTTGCCAGTTTTTGACCCTGATAAGTCTCTGATTCTTTGTGAGCTTATGTTTTCATACGTAAAATGGATACAGAAGAGTGCTGTGAGGGTTAAGTGAGATAGCTTCAAATACCCTGACACATAGTTGGCATTAAATAAATATTGACTCTTCCCCCCCCCATCTCCCATCTTTTGAGGATAAAAGAAGATTGGTGAATGTAAACATATTTTATAGGTTAGCCAAAGATAAAGAATCTTCACTTATAATCTACTAAGAAAGATCAAGTTATATACACAAATAGTTATTGTATGACCGACAATTGACGTAGAATCATTTAACAACAAAACGATGGGAACACAGAGAAAAGAAATTTTGCTTCCAATAGGACAGATGAAGCAAGATTTTATGAAGAAGGTAATGCTAAGTTTCGGCGTTGAAGGATGGTGAGGATTTTGGTAGGGGGGGAAGAAGGAAGAATGTTCCACTGGAGGATGCAAAGGTATCGGAAAAGATTCGTGAATACATATTAGATACGTGGGATGGGTGAAGGCTAATGATAAAAGGTAAAAACGCTGAGTTCAGGGCAAGCTATGGGTAACTGGTCATCTTAAAGATGTTAGGCCTTGGGGCTTCCCTGGTGGCGCAGTGGTTGAGAGTCCGCCTGCTGATGCAGGGGACACGGGTTCGTGCTCCGGTCCGGGAGGATCCCACATGCCGCGGAGCGGCTAGGCCTGTGAGCCATGGCCGCTGAGCCTGCGCGTCCGGAGCCTTTGCTCCGCAACGGGAGAGGCCACAACAGTGAAAGGCCCGCGTACCGCAAAGGAAAAGAAAAAAAAAAAAAAAAGATGTTAGGCCTTCCACAAGGAGCCATGATTTTTCTGTATAACTAGGATCGGGTGGAGGATGGGATAGGCATTTGATTACTTTGTTACGGAAATAATACGCATTTATTACAAAAAGAAGAAAAATGCACCTAATCCCACTCCAGACCCAGCCAAGCACCTACTCACTGAACCCCAACCCCAGGGAAGTCCCCTCCTGGCTTGGGAGTACCCTTCTCCATCCTAGTGAACAGTGAGCTGCGACTCGCTCCTCAGGCTGGGCCAGAGGTAGGAGGGGGCTCTGAGGGGTCACGGGGCCCAGTTTCTGGGCCTCCACCTTAAGAGGACTCACATGGGGACGGGTCCACAGGCACACGGTCCTGTCTACAAGCTCACTGCTCCAACGGGGTGGCTACTGGGCACTGGCACACCGCTGTGATGGCAGCGGGCTTCTGGGAGTAGGGTACGGGTGCTGTCTAGGGCTATGAGGTCTTCCCACCCCTCCTTCCTGTATCCTCCCTGGCTCCTGCCCCTTCCTGATGTCTGTGACGCTGGGCAACCACCTACTCATCTCTGAGCCTCAGTTTCCCCATCTGAAGTCACAGGGTAGACTGGGGGTAGGGGACTCGTGGCTTTCCTCTCCCAGGAGTGGTACCAGGACCACCCCCTACCCCAGGCCAACCATATGACCATGGTGTGGTCATATCTGGATCTGCCTAGATTTCCTGACTTGCCTGTGCCTGGGTCCCCTGAGATCACTCCCTTCTGCTCCATGTCCTCTCACAATGCCTTCTCTACAGAAAAACAAAGCAAACAAGCAAACCAACCATCTCCCTTCCAGGGCTTGGATACTGCTGAGTTGCTGCCCGGTTGCTCCACATCCGGCTCCGCCCAGTACGGCTAGGCTGCGTCATTTTAAAGGCTGGTAAAACACCAGGGTTTGGTCATCAGAAGTGATGAGTCTGCAGACTGCTGACTCATCTCATCAGGTGACTCTGGTGAAGGAAGTTTTTGAAATGT